GGCATGCCTTCAAGAGGTCCATCTAAACTGTCATAAATCATTTGCACAGGCTGGTGGACACTTTTTCACCCCTCAGGCTCACATTCTTTGTTGCAGCTCTCTGAATCCCACCCATACCACCAACATTAACACTTATTTCTAACCAGTTTTCAGGGGAAAAAAATACTAATTTAATTGGGATTAGGACGAGATTTACATGGATAAACCTGAAAAAGCCTGCTGGGGTTAAAGGTTGGTTCTGAGCCTAAACAGAGGCAGATTAAATGTTGATGTCATCACTGGGCTGATAACATTAAACTCCGTGACCCCTATCTGTTTTGTATTGTACGTAAATATATGGAGATGTATTGATTTATTTTTTTTTACCTTGAGAGACTGAAGAGGCGAGGTACTGCTGCGCCTGTCTCCGGCTCCTGCGCGTCCCTTGGGGCACGCAGTCCACCGCGCTCCCGATCCACAGCGCGACCAGCACCCATGCTGTGGTGGTGCTGAGACCAGACATTTCTTTAAACAAAGAAAGAGAAACGAGCCGCTCGGATGCTGCAGAGCGAGGCCCCAGGTGATCTTTTTTTTTTTTAAATTCTTGTCTTTGTTTCTTGAAGGATGTTTCACCGGAGAGAGGTGGGCTCCAGCGCGTCTCCTTCCTGCAGCTCTCCAACCTCCTCGTTCAGCCTGCGGCCCCTGAGTGCAGGTTCCCCCCTCTCCGCGCTGGGAGTGATTTATCTGGGCATGGCTCACTTTCAGGCAGAGGGAGGTCCAACAATGAAAAGCGACTCCCCACGCAGCGTGGAGAATCTGGAGATGAAGCAGGGTTGCCAAACAAATGCATGCTCCTAAATTGTTTGTATGAGTTCATAAAATGATGCTAATGTGACCTTAAAAACCAAGATTAAAAAGCTTTAAACCAGGGGTGTCAAACTCACTTACAAAATGAGGCCACAATTAAAAACTTTTTTCAAAGTAAGGGCCAGTTTCAGGATCTACATTAATTCAAGTCAGATACCAAACACCTTTAATTGGTTGCAAGTTCCTCAAAAAATTGTTGATTGGTCTCATTTGATGTTCTCTGTTGCACTTTTCACATCATAATCAAAGATTACTGAAAAAAATCAAAGTGATAAAAGTATTTTTCGGTTAACGTATCATCTTGGGAGCCAGAAAAGATGTCAACGAGGGCCACATTTGGCCCCCGGGCCTTGAGTTTGACACATGGGAACTCCACTGCAACACCAAATTTAAGCTCGGTGTCTGTAAAACTGACTGTGGTGTTCCTTTTTTTTTTTTTGTATTTTATTTTATTTATATCCCAAGGTATGACATTTTAGAAGATGATGCAACCCCCACATATATTGACCTATAACAGACTCGGAGATTCGCAGGAATTTGGTCACATGATGTCAGAGATTCCAGCAACTTAAAGTTTCAGTGTCTGTGTTGTTTGTAATAATTCTTCCGTATTTCAAGTTAGCGTTTATAGTTTGTAAATAAGTCAGGTGTATTTTTTTTTCCATCTGACTTACTCTTTGCTCTCACGTTGCATTTGTTCCATAATTCAGTCAAAAGGTTCACTGACAGCCCTGTTAATGTAGCTATTGTTTTGCCTAATCTTTGTTGAGATAACTCTGTGTACACTTTACATTTTTGTGGACCACAGCAACCTTTCATTCCGCCTCTTTAAATGTATATTGGAACTTCAGCCGATTACACAGCTCATGGGGTCATTTTAGCTCATGTAGCTCAAAGTAGAAGATTTCCCAGCTGAATGAACCTTTGGTGATATGACATTGATTTATCTGGGTAATTAAATAACCAATTTTAGGATTAGATATTAAAAAAACAACAATGTGATGGACTAAAAAGGACTGTTAATAGACAACAAAAGACATACTTGTATCTTGTATCTAGTAGAGTGCTGTATGAATGGTTAAATGAGGGCACAATGTGTTGTAAAGTGCTTTGAGGGTCTTGATAAGATAGAAAGGCACTATATAAGTACGGTACATTTATCATTTACCATTTATCTGCTGGCTGTTCCATTATTTGACTGTTTGCATAAGCAGTCATATAAATAAAGCCTTGAGGTTTACAGTCTCTCCTCATTCACTTCAAAAGTAGTCAGCTGAGACTAGTTTGTATCTAATTAAAATGCCTTCGTTGCACCTCCTTCTGGATAAACGTCCTGCTGAAGAGAGACCTGGCGCCAGACACAAAAAAATAAAAAAATAAAAAAATGCTAAAAGGACTGGGAGAGCTGGAGAATGTTAGAAGAGACATGATAAAAATAAAAAATAGGCATAAGGAAATGGTTGAATGGCGTGGATTTATCATCTGTTTGAACCCCCACCCAAAAACATATAGCATTCAGAACCAACTTTCTGAGTTGTCCAAAATGAAAAACCGCTAACCGGGTGTCATACTTTCCTCAACAGTGTCATGAGCTCAGCTGTTACAGCAGTGAAACTAATTAATCTTCAGTGTGCTGCTAAATGAAGCCAATCAATCTAAATGAGAGAAGACTTGTAACCACTGTCATGTGTGTGCCAGGAAATATGTGGAGAATGGGCACACTTACGAGGTCTCAGAGACTGTTTTCTGGCATCATTCATGACATCTGCCTTAACACTTTATTTTATTGACCACTTGCTCCACACCAGGAGACAATTAGTTACAGTCGAACTTATGCTAAACACAAATAAATCCATCTGTCGCGTTTTGTCTGGTAAATGGAAAACATGTTGTCTGCTCTGTAGAATTTTAAACAGTTCTAATAGGGATAAACAATAATAACAATCTTTAATTATGATTGCTTTAAACTTTTATATTGGTCCTGCATGAACTGACAATTTTCTTTCTGAATTAAACTACTCAACAGATACGTAATAAAAAAAACTTTTAAGCAACTGCTGTTAGTAAAAGAAAACAATATCCATCGTTGCATCATGTCACAATAACAGAAGTGTCATAAATCAATGGGACAGTGCAGTTATTTTAAGGCTAATCCCTGGAAACTGTTATCAGTCTGATTAAATGCTTGTGGAAGTCGCCTTTTGCCTTCAACAAAAGGAAGTAATGTCTTTGCTTGTATCTGTGTTCGTCTAGCGTTAGCAAAATATCTCATGAACTTGTGAACAAATTTTATTAAAGCGCTCATAAAAGAACCACTGAATGTTCATCTTGAGATGTGTTTAATTTGTAATTTGTAACTATGTAATAAATTATTCCAGGGCTATTCAACAGGCGGTCCGCGGGCCAAATCAGGCCCACGAGTGAGCTTAGCTCTGCCCACCAATGGGTTCATTTTTAAATAAAATTTGATTTTAAACCATTAAACAAATTTACTTAATGACAACTGATGGATGTCCAGCCCCTGAGCTCTTGGCTTTCAGTAACTGCCACCCCCCCCTGAGCAATTTAGTTGAATAGCCCTGACTTATGCCCTTTTTTATAAATAAAGTTGTTACCACAAGGGCCCTTATTTAAGCCTCTGCTTTTGACCCCTCCTGCTCCGTCCCATGCCTGGCTGTCTTTGATGGAATTGAGCCAGTGACTCTGACCCTTTTAGAGGATGTGGTCGGCCGGCCATATTAAGCCATCAGATTCCTCTCGTGACCTTGTCCCCACCTTGTTTTTTTTAAAAGAGGCTTTTTCTTCCACCATCAGGCAGGTGATTTCCTTGCTGTTATTAATAGCAGTCTCTCCTCAGGAGTTGTCCCCAGGAGCCTTAAACATGCAGTGGTGTAGCCCCCGCTTAAAGAAACCTAGCGTTGACTAAACTGTCCTGTTTAATTTTTAAGCCTATCTCCAAGCTGCCTTTTGTTTGTAAAAGTTTTGAAATACATGTCTTTTTCCTAGAACAATTGTTTTTTGGATGAGTACAATACCCTGGAGGTATTCCAGTTTGGTTTCAAAACTCAACACAGCACAGAATCAGCTCTAGTCAAAGTTTTAACATTATTCTTGAGGCTAACTACTCTTGTGAACATGTGGTTATGGTGGGTCCTGTTCAGTCTAACTGCGGTCTTTGATACAGCGGACCACAATATCTTAGTTTTACAGCACCAAGTGAATATCTGTGGAAATGCATCGAGTTGGTTTGGGTCATGTATGGCAGATAGAACCATGTGTGTCAGCATAGGCTCTGAATCATCTACTGCTCCTCTGTCTTCTGGGGTTCCACAGGGCTCCATTTTAGGTCCCCTGCTTTTCCCCCTTTACCTGCTTCCTTTGGGCTCAGTCCGCAGGATCCATGGGATGTGTTTTCACTGCTATGCTGACAGTAATCAGATTTACATGCCACTAAAAAGAAATATTGCCTCTCAATTAGGCCACTTCTCTTGTGTTTGGAAGACATCAAAACCTGTATGTCCTTAAACATTTTAAATTTAAATGAAAAAAAACCCCAGAAGTGATAGTGTTTGATCCCAGCGGCTCCTGTGAGCATTCCCCAATTGATCAGGGTTAGATTCCTAGATTGCAACGGTAGCCAAGGCCAGTTGTTATCACCTCAGACAGTTGGCTAAGATAAGGCCAGATGAGCCCCTTCACTGTCCACTTTTAAAACTCTTTAAAAAACACACACACACGTTTTTATTCCCTGGCATTTGGCACATCCAGGGACTTGCTCTACTGCTTTAATTGGTTTATTGTTTTTACTGGTCTAACTCTTTTGTTTAAATGTTCTTGATTTTATATGAACAGCACTCCTTTGCAAGTGTGGTTGTTTTAAAGTCTTTTGAAATAAAGTAGTAGTAGTAGTAGTGGTAGTAATTTGGGATCAAAAATGCGAGAAAAACAAACAAACTACCAAATAATGGATTCAAATGCTTCCTGATTTTAAATTTTGTCCTGAAAATTTGCATTAGTTGATTTTAAAAAAATCATGTGAACTCTGGGTGGGAAATATCTTGTGCGTTGTTTATTTAGTTTTCTGTGATTTAGTTTTATTTGTGTTTCAGCTTCCCCAGTGGATTTCCCCTCATGTAGTCAGCTCCTGCCTCTCTCACTCTCACCTGATCCCCCAGGTGTTGTCAGTTCTCTCTCATTACTTTCCCTTTAAAGCCTGTTGTTTCTCTTATTGGTGTCCATGTATTTTGCTTTTACCGACTCTCATGTTCTTCTTTTTCTTACGAGCTTCTCAAGTGTTCTAGAGAATTTGGTTATGAGTGTTTTTGCTGCAAAGTCAGCCCTTTGTTTTTGCTTTTTGTAAATAAATTTGTTGTATTTTACCTTAGAGTCTTTTGAGTTTTTGGTTTTGCATTTGGGTTCTATTAATATCTCCAAACATGATATGCTGGCTGAGTTTGGAGGTTGCAAGAGACGTGAATAGGTGAATCGTGACACATTACTGGTTTGTCAAACTTTACCCAAACTTTGCAGCTGTGAATGCCTTTCTCAACCATTTTTTTTCCAGAATGATCATTCCAGATGATCTTGTTTAATAAAGTTACGACATTACAGTAGATTTCCACACGTCAGCTATAAACTTCATTTAGTCAGCCTGCGTTTCCAAACTCTCCATCCATTTTCACCTACTTGTATTTTTTCACTCTTCCCTTAACAGGAATCATTCATTCCTCCCACATTGTTCGTTTTCACTTCTGCTTTTCAGGACAGAAACCAACAATCCATAGAATCCAATGAAATCCACAACAGAAGGACTTTCTAACATTAAATTATATTCTATTACATTCTCAGTCTGGTTTTAGGAAAATGCATCGTACCACTACCGCAGCACTAAAAGTGGTTAATAATTTTATTGATC